TAAATAACTTTTCACACTTTCACAGTTACATTTAGAATTGAATAGTTTGCTTTTGTAAATTGATAGAGAAATCCAGGTTTATTTAATTCTCTCTCTAGTAATTCTTTCATAGATTGCTAATCTATTCTACCTGCCAATTCTAATTTATTACTTTTTATTTCACTATTTGTTCTTTTTTTTTTTTTAAGAAAAAGCTATTGGAGGTTAAGGTATGTCAATTTCCAATAAAGCAACACTTCTCCTACATGTATGCTCATCAAAGATGTGAATATTGATAATGTATCCTTCCAAGGGAAAAATATAGTTATGGAGTTTTCTGAAACATTCCTCTTGAGGAGTTAACCTCCATATAGATTTCAAATTTCTTGTATGTTTTTTCTAATGTTATCTTGTATTTAATGATGGAAAATAGCATCCAAAGTCAATGTTAAAGGATTTTGGCATTATGTATGGCATATCGCTGTTTTGAAATATCTGCACAAATTTTGAGTTTGTTCTTATATGAATTCCAGGTCAAACATTTAAGATATAGAACATAAAACATCAGAGTTGGAAGGTACCTTGGACCTTCCAGTCCAACCCCCTGCCCAAGCAGGAGACCCTATACCATTTCAGACAAATGGCTGTCCAGTCCCTTCTTAAAAGCCTCTAGTGATGGAGCACCCCAAACTTTTGAAGGCAAGCTGTTCCACTGGTTGATTGTTCTCACTATCAAGAAGTTTCTCCTTAGTTTTAGTTGCTTCTCTCCTTGGTTAATTTGCATCCGTTGATCCTTGTCTTGCCTTCTGGTGCTTTGGAAAATAAGTTGACCCAATTCTTCTTTGTGGCAGCCTCTCAAATATTGGAGACACTGCTATCGTGTAACCTCCAGTCCTTCATTTTATATACTAGACTTTCGCTGCAATTGTTCTTCAATTGTAGAGCTTTTGGCTTTTTACTTTCAACCATTTTCAAATAGATCAGCTGACTATTTCCTTTATGAGCATGCCATTTACATTCTCTGTTGCTCAATGATTAATATTTTCCTGATTGTTTCGGTTTCCTTTATTTCTTTAAATGTGAAACTGAAATATAAGTCTTTATTCATACCTCCATCAACAAAGAAAGAAGAAAACTATTTGGGATGTTTGACCTCTTCCTCATAATATTTTACCTTCATGTAAATTAAATGAATTCTTGCATTAGGCTAATGTCAAATATCGCTTGTTAATAGTATTGTGCCTGGTTAATTTGAGTTAATGTAGTACCTTTTATATTTATATGATATTATTATATCATAACAGTGCCTGAGAAAGTGGGAAGAAGTTCGTCTAGGTTTCAGATGAGGACCCCAAGTTTTCCCAGGTAGATGCTCAAATCAGAATCTGAATATTCTGCAAAATATTCTATAAAAAAAACAAACCCACCCCGATTATTGAATCTGGTTTTATTTGGCAATCCAAGGGTTAAATTTATGAGTCATTGACCAAAATATTATTTGAGCCTTTAATCATACCCAATTACTTGCAGTGCCAGATGGAATGTGTGCTGCACAGATGCTAAATGTAGGTAATAATGATTTTAAGATGGCAAGAATCTGGTTATTTCAGCAGAGCAATTTAGCAGAGACTATCTTGTTATAGCATAGCTACTATATGCAGGATGTACAGTATTACACACACACACACACACACACACACACACACACACACACACACACACACACACTGTAGCTCTAGAGAACCAATGAAAAAGCAAGTGAAATGTTTTTTTTGCTTCAAGAACTTAAAAATAAATGCTGTCCACAGAAACAAAATTAACAAAATAGTGAAGCAAAGTGTTCATCTGCTGCCACATTCTCATCACATGTCAAGACAATAATCATGAGTCTCTACTGGTTATATACCTTATGGGAGAATCCTCTTTGGGTGTTTCATAAATTGAGTGGTCTCTGACAGTTACATTTTAAATCTTTGCATGGAACCAATATTATATTCTCCATCATACTGCATCAATCATTGTACTTTAACTGAGATAATATATGAATTCAGAGGTTTTTTTAATATGCTTAAAATAATCAGAATCAGTAAGTCATGCCAGTAAGATGGTCAGTGCACTTTTTAGAAGATCAGGTTATTATGTGTGGTCTTTATAAAACCATCAATTTAGAAGGATATAAGTTTAATTATTTTACCACGTTTCTTATTACTGAGGTTGCATTTCACATGTGTTATGTTTTATCATTCAGATTTAAAGGTTAATTTTATTCTTAATCTAAATCCATAGTCCTTCAAACCAATCAGATATCACAATAATCTCAGAAACAAAAGATGGTTATTTAAAAATGTATTCTGAATGAAGAATCGAAAATCCTATGAGGCATCAAATGGAAGACATTAACATTCACCCCTGTGCTTATTTCAGTTCCTACTGCATGAAAAAGAAGAGAGAAGATTTGTTTCCTTGTATTATCTTTGAGACCATGTGTCAGTCTCATTTTGAAAGTAGAAATTGCTCTTTTCATTTCAGATCTGTGTAGGTTTTCAGAAGGACAAAGGACTCAAAAACAATGATAAATGATACATTTTCTCACTGTGAGGGAAAAAGGAAATGCTTCACACTGAGGAAATGGGAAATGCTTCACCCTTACCTGCAGGAAAGATGGATTGGGAAGTAAGATTCCCTGACTTATACTCAATTATGCCTCTAATTCCTACAACTCAGTTCTCTCTTTCGTGTGTGTGTGTGTGTGTGTGTGTGTGTGTGTGTGTCTGTCTGTCTGTCTGTCTGTCTGCCTGTCTGTGTGATTAATGAAAAATGGAATTTTTTGATGCTTTCCATTTCTCCCCACAATAGAATAAATTACCCAGGCTCACTATGAAGATCTGAAAAGGAAAAGCTTTAAACTTTAAACTCCTACAAACATTCCAGTATCATTACAGGAAGCTCCATTTAAAGGGCAATGGAGCACTTCTACATTTCTGATTTGCTTCATTACTTAAAACTAAATAGCAATTATTAGTTATAACATTGCCATTTTGAGACTAAAAATTTTCAACTACTAGAATTTAGTGCCCCTTTAAATATTTTTTTCCTTGACATTCTGCTCTGTTTGTTAAATATTGATCAACTGAGATATATTGCACTCACTGTTTTCTACAGGTTCAAGCAAAAGAGGAAAGCTGACAAAGAGCACAGTGTGTAGACAGTCCTACTGTGCTGCCCTTTATTTTCAAATGAGAGTTTCCTTAGAGGTCACAATATCCCTGAAGCTTTATTTTGGTCAATTTCCCTCAGGTGAATTACTTAAAAATCAGCTGAAGAGCTCTACTAAAAGATACCATAGTTATTAAAAAGTTTGGCCAAAAGACCAGCCTCAGTTCTAAATATACCCATCTTTTGATAAAATGTCATTACTGCTAATAGCTGTAATTTTAACATATGTGAACTTGGCTATAAATTAAATGGCCAATGCTGAACTTGAATTAAAAAAACTAGTGCTATTTGATATACAGTCTCTTTTGGTCTGCTATGCCTTTGGATTATATTTATTTTTTGCTTTGGTTAACTTTACTAACAACAGAGCTTCAAAGCCAAAGAAAAGAATTTGGAATCATATTAATTCTACAAAGTACTGTACTTTGGGCACTTCTGAATCATCTTTTTCCTTGCCCAGAAAAATGTGAGAAGAAATATTAAGTTCCAGAATGATCTAGTCTTTCCAGCTATCATGATAGTTCTGAATTTATTTTACTGTAATTCTTAGCTGCATAATGGTGATCCAGGAAATCTAGTTTGACTCATTAGTTTATCCTTCAGACTAGAGGACAGGTCTTGTGCATTTTGTGCCTCAAAATACACAACCCAACCAGTTCCTGACATCAAGAAAACTTGGTATAAAAATATGGAAAATGTCCTTGAAAAAAAATAAATGTCTTTTACAAAGGAACAAAATTCAAAGTAGTCTTTTTGTCACATTTACCATCCAATGGCAGCTACATGATCAGATTTTTTCCCCTAAGCTTTAAAATCTTGTGGATTATGGAGATTTGAACATATAGAGATCCATTGATTTGCACTATTGATGATTATCTGATACTTTACAAGGCAATTTATAGCAAGATGTGGCATAAAGGGACAGCAAGTCAGAATAACAGAGTTGGAAGGGTCTTCAAACCTCTGCTCAGGCAGGAAATCTGATACCATTTCAGACAAACATTTGAATTTGAATGTACATCAAATGTCATAATCATTTGAATTTGATTTACAAGATAACAGATGTCTGAACCAGCTTCAGTATTACCATGGTTATTTCTATGACTGTCCCCAACCCCCCCGCTTGCTTCATCTTTCCCTTCAGTATTATGTACTTCCAGTTTTTCTTCCATTCTTTTTCTAAAAAAGAAATCTGTTTTGTGCTAGAGGTATATTATTTTTAGTAAACAAAACTACTGAACTCTATCTTAAATCTCATTTCTTTTAACTCTCTTTTGCACTGATAAGTGCCCCTTGGTCACTTTGTGGAGCTTTAAATTTCCAGGCATAGATATTCATTTCTTTTCTTCACTCTGTTCAGAACCCCTGTTGCCATTTTTCTGCAAGATTTCATTGTTTTGCTGTTAAAAGGTTTCCCTTGCAGTGACTGCTCTGCCTGGGAGTTTTGTTTGAAACTGACCCTGAGCTTTAGTCACAACAGAGCAACAGCAAGCATTTTAAGGTCTGCAGGCTGGGGAATATGAGGATAACAACCTGAAACTAGAAAAGAATCATAAGGAGATGCACATTTCAAGACACATTTCCCTGACAATGTTTCCCAGACTGGTGATTTGCTATTTCTTGTTTGGCTGAAATGACCTTTTCCTTCTGTGACCTATGTGATAGCTGTGTCCATCATTATGTCAGTTATGATGCACATATCTGCCCACTGAAAAAGAAGATAGGCCAAAGAAATATGTCTTGTGCCCAATAGATTTCTTTGACAGTAGTATGCAGAAGACTTTATTTCCGCTGTGCCCAGACCACTCCAAACCATCTGCCACTGTTATTCAATTGAGCTATATTTCTCAGTCTATCACAAGAATGGTGGCATCTCTAAATGTGACAACAGTAATACATGATTATCCTTTTAAATTACAGATTATTTAACCTAAGCAGAATCTAATATAGCTTCTGCTGTATTCAGAAAGGATTGAAGTCCTATCTTTAAAATGGACGCATTAACCAAATAAATTATGGGACTATTGCATGATGTGTCATAATAGTATTAAATACGAGAGTCTACTAGAGTGGAAGGTTTAAGTATAAGATGCTGAAGGCAGAGTTGCAATGAAATCCCCATCCCATTGTGTGTGTTTGTGTGTGTGTGTGTGTGTGTGTGTGTAATGGGAACAAAAGGGGTGGGGCTTTAATTATACTGCAGCTACAATACTTATTATCCACAGATTCTACCCACTAAAATGAAAGCACTTAAAATGAACATATAACTTAGGAAGTTATGCACAGAAATTAAGTGCAAAGTTATTAATTGGTACCACCCTTAGAAGCATCTTTTTATTGATTTTCCATTAAATACATTTCTTACTGTTTAATAAACAATCATGTTGTTTGGATATTTAATATGCTTAGCAATACAAATTTACATTCTTAATCTCCACCCCTTTTTTCCGACCATTGGTAAAATAGATTCCATGTTAGAGGTATTATTGATCACTTTGTATTAAGTATTCTTCACATTGTTTAACAGAAGTAATGATGGAAAATTTGAAACAAAGGTGCAAGATTTGCATATTGGTTCAGGTTTCAGCTAATCTATAAAACCTTATAGAACTTATTCAATTAGTTTGGCAGAAGCTATTTGCATTCATTTGGGAATTAGGTAAAAGACAGCTTAAATAGTCTGTGTGCAAGAAGGATTCAAAAGTGCGTTTTTCAGGACCCAGCAGAAGGACCAGAATGAGGGATAGGAGTGATATATTCAATGGTATACCTAAAGATGGACAATACAATATACCTAGAAAACTGCACACAACTGACCAATCACAAGTCATACCTTGAAATTCAGAAGTGATAGCATACCTTGAGAGTCTTGGTGAGTCAATCTGAGTAAGAGAATACATTAAAATCTGGAAAAGGATATAAAAGATCCAATGTAAGACAATTAGGCCTTTAGAGGAACCTCTGCTGCTAAATTTGGGCTCTATTCCTCTCACTGCTTCTTTGATGTCCAAGTCTTGTGTACACTGGTATCATGTTTTCTCAGAATCAGAAGACCAACATGGAGAAGCCTCTTCTGAATAAACGCCACAAACAGCAATTGGGAACAATCAAATACCCAAGGGTAACTCTGCCACTCATCATCAGAAACAGATGCAGAACAAGTCAGATAATAAAGACCTCAATGCTGAGCAACTGCCTAGTCTAAGAATGTGCATGAATTTTAGAGAGCCAAAGAGAAATGGTCTGCAAAAGAGGAAATACTCCAGTTTTGCTCCATACCTTTGTATTTCTGAATCCTGTGTGCTGCTGATCACCTTTTGCGATCGTTAGATTGTTGGACTGCTTCTGAACTATATGCTGTGATCTGGCTTTATATTCATAAAGGCAAGACTTATTTTGCTGGTACACATGTACTTTTGCACCTACCAGTACTCTGTCTGTTGAAGCTTAAAAACACTTGCTAACTTTAAAATAAACTGTTGATAACCAACTCAACCTAAGTGTTCAGGTTCAAATAGAGAAACCAGATAACCATACCCATTCTGCTAGATTTCCCTGGGAACCTTGACCAGTAAGTAAGAAGAATTTCCATTCAGTGTAGTTAACATGCTAATGTCCCTCATTTCTTATGTGTTTGTTCATGTAAGTAAAAGAGGAAAGGTCTTAGTATCAATATTCTTAAAATTTTAAGAATAGTGTTACTAATGTCTGTTTATTGGAGAGAAAGCCATTATTAGAGGGGAAGTTGCAAGAAAATATAGAAATACAGTAAATCTGATATGATAAGAGTGCTTATTACTAGCCTATTCTGTTACTTATATTTCATAGCTAGGTTTGGTAGCAAATAGTTCTGCATTGATTTAATTCCTCATCTAGCAGTTAGCTGACGACTTTCAGTTATGCCTGAATTTGATTATCTTATATTTTTTTATTTTAGAACATGTGTATTCCATTATTATGGACTGCTCCAATTCTGAGGCTGAAGGTTGCAGAGTTTCTGCTATTTCTCTTCTTCAGCCTCGGAATTGGAGCAGTCCATAATAATGGAATACACATGTTGTAAAATAAAAATATGAGATAATCAAGTTCAGGCATATCTGAAAGTCCTCAGCTAACTGCTAGATGAGGAATTAAATCAATGCAGAACTAAGATTTGCAATTTGCAAGGCAACTATTCAGGGAACTGACTGCAATTCGGTCAGCCACCTCTGAATCTGATTTAATACAGATGGCTTCTGATTAGATTGCAAGGCATCAGAGCCTCACCTTGGAATAAATTGAATCAATAGTAAAGAGGTCCAGGCAGTAGAGATCAGAATGGCAAAGTCTAGTCATAAAAGACAGTGCTCCAGATGTCATCCCCTTGTTGAAAATAATTTGACACCATCAGTTCTACATACTTTCAGCCTCTCTTTCTTGATTCCTTTCTTTACAAATGGATCCTCAGTTTATGAGCCTTGGCCTGGATATTGTGAAAACTATAGATTTCTTGCCTATATAAAGTACTGGCTATGATTTACAAGCCAGATTTTTTTAATCTACAGATTTGTTCAGAGTTACTTGTTGCCATGGGTGACTCCAGAAATTAAATAAATAAATGTGAATAACAACCAGCCATCAATAGTTTCAACCCTAAAGAGATTTTGACAGGCTGAATGGGCAGGGTACATTTGTGTGCAATAGAGGATTTAATAAAATTGCCAATAGCATCAAATGATTAAGTGTTGTTATGTACTTCTGCATGTCTTAATTTCTAGTTTCCCAACTTCTGGGATCTTGGAGACCAGCCATTTATTTCCCACCAAACTGGAGTGTTTAGGGTAATTGCTTGAAAAATGCTCCCCTTGCTGACAGGTCCCATAAGTGTTTTTGGTTTAAAGGGACAGTTAACAAGATATTCATGTGTAAGTTTATTATTTATTTATTTATTTATTTATTTATTTATTTGATTTGATTTGATTTGATTTGATTTGCCAATTGTTTACAAGATAATAAGTATAAGTGGTATACATAGTTGTGAATACATGAAATGGGTACATATAAGAAAAATAAAAGAAGAATAAGAGAAACAATAGGACAGGGACGGTAGGCATGTTGGTGCGCTTATGCACGCCCCCTACAGACCTCTTAGGAAAGGGGTGAGGTCAATAGTAGACAGTCTAAGGTTAAAGTTTTTGGGGTTTGGGGAAGAAAGTTGGCTAGGCTGTCCACAATATAAACATAGGTCTGATATACTGTATATGTTAATACAACTTTTCTTAGACACTTAATAGAAAAACACATGGAGTGAAGAGGATAGTAGGCAGTGGTGAAATTCTACCGGTTCGGCCCGGTTCTGGCCACCCAGGCTCCCATACTGACCTTTATTCCCTGCTTTTTGGAGCACAGCAGATTGCCATGCGTCAGCTGCTGAAGTGACAGGGAGAATGCAGGATTGCAGGAGGTGAGTCGGAAAGCCTCTGTGCCTGCGCAAAGTGCACATTTGGTGCGTATGTGCACCAAGTGTGTACACACGCACAAAGTGCTCCCACCAAGCCATGCCCAACTATTTTGAAACCCATCACTGATAGGAGGGAAAGAAAAAGACTAGACCAGTGGCAGCGAACCTTTACAGCACCAAGTGCCAAAATGGGGACACGCATGCACACACACACACAAGCAGAAAACCAGAAGAGCAGTTCCCTTATGCGCACGCACATGTGCACTGGAAACTGGAAGCTTAGCTTCCCAGCGCGCACATGCACATCGCCCACCTGGTCTTCCGGTTTCTAACGCGCATGCGTGCATGAAGACCAGCTGGCCGGCACACACATGTGCGCCAGGGAGCTGCTCCACCAGTTTCTGGCAGTCTTGCATGAGTGAAGACCAGCTGGCTGGCATGCATGTGTGCGCCAGAACCAAAAAAAAAACAGCCAATGGCTGGCATACCCAGAGAGATGGCTCTGCATGCCACTTTTGGCATGCATGGCATAGGTTCGCCATCACAGGACTAAACTGTTATTCTCCTTACTCAAAGTCTGTCACTATTCCTCTGGTCTTCCGTTGGCTCCCCAGTAGACCTAGTTTAATGCTGTCATAGTACTTGAATTGGTCTGGTAATATCAAAATTACATAGCCACAAAGTGAAGAGGAAACAAAAAATGAAGCAAACAGGTCTTTCTAAATTCTTTCTTTTTTCTTCCATTCAGTTGTGTCCATTATCAGAGACAAATCCCAGCTGTTTTCTTGGCGAGGTTTTTTTTAAAGAGTTTGCTATTGCCACTTTCTTAGGGCTAAGAGAAAGTGACTAGCCCAAGGTCACCCAATTGGCTTTGCCCCTAAGGCAGGACTAGAACTCATAATCTCCTGGTTTCTACCCTGATGCTTTAACTACTATACCAAACTGGCTATCAAATACTGATTAGTTAGTGTTATTGAGAGCAGTTTAAGCACACAAATTCTAACATCTTTTATTTCAAATATGCTATGTGGATGTAATCATTCAAAATAGTTTGTCCCATACTTTTAGTTCAGGGGAAATGCAATCAATTCCTTCTGAAAATGCACTAAGCAATGAATAAACAAATGTTATCAACCTCTTTGTCAGTATGAGAATTCCCTACCACCTTCTTTCATTTTAGCCCTCATTTCAAGCTAACAAATGCCTATATTTCTTCTTGCCATACTTGTCATCACAACTAGCCTCTTGCTAACCATGCCAGCTGGAACCTAACCATCTCTTCATCACATGAACCTTAGGATTTTTTTTTTTCTGACTTACCACATATGAAGAGCCTGGTAACAATAGTGCTAGAGCCAGAAATACTGATTGAGGAGGTGGCACAGTTGTTAAAAAATCACCCAAATACAAAGCACCAGAAATAGATGAGCTACCAACAGAAATAATTCAAACAGCAGGGGAAAACAGTGGAGCACCCACAATTTCTGGAGGCAAAGTCATTCCACTGTGGAAAAAGAAAGAGAGGAAACAAGAATGCACACAATATCAAGCACCAGATTATTAAGCCCTTTACAGAAATTGTACACCAAGATAATAGAAATGAGATTAAGACCAGTTATAGAACCATAACTAGCAGAAGAGCGAATGGATTTTAGAAGAAATAGAAGCTGCATAGAGGCAATTTTTGCACCTCAGTATTTTATACAAAGCATACATATCCCCACCCTATGTTACCAGAGCCAAAGATGAACATTTACAATAAAACATAAATGAAAATTAGTCACCATAGAAATTAAATGTTTGAGGGAAGCTGCTGGAGTGACCAGAAGTGATAAAATCAGGAAAGAGACCATAAGAGAAATAATTGTCATGGAACCAATCTTAAACTACAGACAAAAACAAATAAAGGTGTTTGCTCACCTGAAGAGGATGTTTAGGAATTCCATATCATACAAGGCATATATAAAAAGAGAAGGTTGAAGAACATGAGGCAGACCTAGAAGAAGATGGAGAGATAAGATATACTACAACAATATAAGTTAACAATACTTGAGGCTGCCAGAAGAGCAAGAATTAGAACTTGAGAGGAGGGGAAGGGAGGGGAGAGGAGGGAGACAAGAGGAGAGGAGAAAGCCTGGTGATATTTGTCTTTTTTTCTAAGATGGCCCATTTCATTACAAATGAATAGGTAGCTGTTCATTCGGGTTTTCAGAACATGGCTTGTGCAGGCAGCTGCTTTCTAACAAAGGCATGAGATTCAAAGCATATTTCCTAGTAAGTTTTATTTCAGTGATTGAATGTTAAGATCAGCCTGCCCTCTGTCCATTCTCTCTATTCAGGTGGAGAAAACCGAAAGCAATATTTTATTGCTCCTTAATAGTAAAGTACTATCAAGACAATTGGCTTGATCTTCTACCTATGGCTGAGTTTAGTTATAACAAGTTTATGCCTTTATTCAATGTCACCTTTCAAGTTATCACATATACACATTTGCTGCCATTCTCAGTTTCAAGGGCTTTCTGTTTTTTCCAGAAACCTCAGAAGTTTCAACACCTCGGTGATCAACTGGATTATGCCAAGGACTCACATATGCAATCTCCTAACTATAATTGCTATTGGAAACCATAGCTTATTTTTTCTACTGCATTCTACTACATTTTTTCTTTCTACATGGCCTGTTAAGAGAATTTGTGTAATTTTTGAATATTAATTTCTATACTTGCAGAAATAAATCCTGTAACATTTCATCTATAGCTTCCATACAGAAAATACATTCATATTTCTTCCATTCACTTCTGGAATGGAAGAAAACATCCTTCTTGCACATTCTATCCTAACACCACCTCCTATCTTGGTCAGGAGGAAAAAAAATGGAGGTGGAATCTATTTTTCACTCTCAGAATAAGAACAGTGTAGACTGGAGAAATAGAAATTCCCCTCCACTGGGGGATGAGAAAAATGTGAGAGAATTTG